TAGAATATAGAAATATATTCTAAAATATAAAAAATTATTTGTATTAAACCAACGAATTTTAAACCCCTAACTATTCTATAACCAATGTTACTTCCCTTTTATCTTAGTTTGGGTTCAAGAAATCTTATCCTACCAACAACAACAACAACAACAAGCTTTAACAATGGTTAAAGTGTTATAATTAATTCTTATTTGTTAAATAAGCTGCAACTATCTTAGATACTAAAATTCCAGGCCATAAGCCAGGAGGGGCAAGCTGAGATCCTAGCCCCAAACATACAGGTGGATTCAACTTTCAACCACAATTGAGCCCACAATTTCTGTTGCTAAGGGAGAAATTTGTTAAGAGAGTTTTGTTCCATTTTACGACTTTTCTTGCCTCGTTTGTTAAGTGAATCATTGCAGTTGTTAAATTAGTAACACAGTTAAGGGAACCTGCCTTCCACATTGACTTTGCTTGTCAGAAGGTCACAAAAGGTGATTGTATGACCCCGGGACACTATAGCCGTCATATATGTGAGTCAGTTGTCAAGCATCCAAATGTAAATCACGTGACCATGGGGATACCACAATGGTCATTGGTGTGAAAAATGGTCATAAGTCACTTTTTTCAGTGCATTGTAACTTCAAACGGGTCATTAAGTGAATTGTTGTAAGTCAAGGACCACCTGTATTGCAATGAATGACACAGCCCTCCGCCTTGCCCATGCCAACCTTCATTCCTTTAATGATTTCATTATTACTGCCCGAGTTCTGTGGGTATATGTGAAACCATATAAAGGGGTTATAACCAAATAAAATGTGCCATCATCACCCTCACCTCCAAAAGGCTGTCTATCGTTATTTATAAACAAAGGCTAATAAGGTGTAATTTTTATACGGGGTTTTTTTACTACCAGTTTTGTGGGCGTGGCATGGCTTGGTGGGTGTGGCTTAGTGGGCATGACAGGGGAAGGATACTGTAAAATCTCCTTTCCCTCCTCACTCCTGGGGGAAGATTACCACCGGTTCTCTGAACTACTCAAAATTTCCGCTACCGGTTCTCCAGAACTGGTCAGAACCTGCTGAATACCACCTCTGGGTTTATACATTACATTAAGCTAATATCAAACAAACCACACTACAATTTAGTATGATATATAAATCCTGATAACATCTGTATCCAAAGGAATCACGATGTACTCAGTTTTAGAAATCATTTGTGTGTTCAGTTTTTATACTACTGCCATCCACTAGGGGTTCCTGGTTGTTCATTAAAAATGAATATAAAATTAAAACATGGGATATATAATTTTAAAAAACATGAGGGAAAATGTAGGGAAAATATTGAAAATCTAAAGAGTTCTCTATTGTAGGTATCATATAAGGGAACTGGCAACAATTTAGAATATGTGCATTTCACTGTATTTGAAAAGATTTTCAACGGTATTACATGCTGCTCAGATTTAAGATAAGCTGCACTGATTCCTTTAATTACTGCCTCCTGTTCTACTTACCCACTCAATTGTCCTATCTCTTAGCTCGATGTATCAACATAAACATTCCAGCCAACTTAATAAATAGGATTTCTGAGTGGCATGTTTTTACAACACTACGATGCTCAGGAGATTATAGAGGTTGAAGTGATGCAATACTAAGTGGTTATGCCACAAGAAAGCATACTAATAAATAGGCGGTGGGAAGAACAGAGGCAATGCAGAGCAATATTCAGCAGAAACTTTATTTAAAAATAAAGGGTTGTCGCGGCTGCCGCAAGCTAACAGGACAGCCGGCTGACAGGCAACATCTGATGCCATTTGACAGCTCCCTTTTATAGTCAGCTGTCAAACAGCATCAGCCAATAGGAGCGGTCCACGTTCCTGCTGGAAACGTGGACCTAAGTGAGAACTGCTCAGCAAAGTCTCAGAACACAATACATACATATCTATTTCACCAGTAATATGCTTTATTTTGACAATAGCCCAACAGCCCAGAAGACAATAACTTCTGCGATGACCATGTCCATTATTGAGCAAGCACCTGTGGGATATTCATATCCTGAAACAGTTTTTTTTTAAATCCTGAAATAGTAGCCCCTAAAAACAGAAGGTTAAATTAAGTTAAGAGAGAAAATATTTGTTTTTTTCAGGGTTAGAATCATAGGGCTGTAAGGACCTTAGAAGTCTTCTAATCCAATCACCTGCCCAAGGCAGGAGTTCTTATGCCATTCTGGACAAATGAGCATCCAATCTTTTCTTTAAAACAACCAGCATGTTCCCACAACTCCAGCTGTCCCACTGACTAATTGTTCTGTCAGAAAGTTTCTTGTTAGTTCCAGATTAGATCTCCTTCTTGCTAGCTTCAAACCATTGCTGCTTGTTCTGCCCTCAGGTACTTTGGACAATAAATCAACCCCCTATTCCCTGTGGCAGCCCTTCAAGTATTGGAAGACATCTATCATGTCACAGTAAGCCTTCTCTTTGTTAGGCTAAACATACCTAGTTCCCTTAGCGGTTCATCCTACAGTTTAGCCTCCAGATCATCTTTGTTGCTCTTCCTTGACTCTTTCAGCATCTCTTTTTCTCATGGTGACCAGAACTGGAAGCAGTATTCCAGGTGTAGTTTTGCTAGCACAGTGTAGATTGATGTTATCACTTCTTGTGTTCTTGATACCATCCTTCTGTTGATACAGCCCATGACTGCATTGGCTTAATGGGTTAACTGCATTGGTTAAATAACTAGCTGAACATAGAGTTAGTTCTAATTCAATCTAACCATATCTCAGTTCAGACTGAATTTCAATTAAATATCAAGAAAACCATATTATGGAGAAAAAGATAGACAATGAACAAGCTCCACAGAGTAAAAGTAACTCTGATTCTTTATAATTCTTGGTGCCTGGGAGAATAGGGAGGAGGCCAATCCCAAGACGAAGGTAGTACAACAGTATTCATAAACAACCTTGGGAATACTCATTTCAAAATAAGAAGCCTAATTGCTACTGTTTATGACACGATTAGCATATCAACAAGTTTAATCAGTGAAATACAGAACATGCATGAAGGAATCTATGATCCCTTAAGTAAGCCACCTTTTTATTAAAGGTTTTTAAAACCTTTTCCCACTCATTTTCTTCATATAAGTAGAAGCAGAAGTATCTTCTTTAAAACTTTTCTTGACAATGCCCAAATGTACAGTTTTTCCTCTCTATACAATACAATACTATAAATAGTATCATATCTTGGATAAGAAGCAAAACATCTTTTTAAAAAAACCAGAAAAACTAGTTGCCTCTTGGAAAAGTACCTTTAGGACAACTATGACCTTGATGACTGAAAATCTCCATAGACATATCATAAATATACTATAAACAGAATCTTCAATTATAAATGCAGCAGATGATCCATACCACTTTCAAATGCATACAAAGACAAAATAATCAGAAACTAATAAAAAGAGTTAAAAATTTCTTTGGAAGCTCAAGTCTGCAATATATAAGTCAAATGTCAAGTAATGTTTATGTTAAATCACTCTGAGTTTAAACAGAGTTGGAAAACAGATTCATTTATTATACATACACTATTATTGAATATTTATATACCATATCCAACAATACTGACTTGTTTTGGTAATTTATTATCAGTCTCCTTTAAGGTAATTTGTTCTCTTGCAATCTCCTAGTGATGCTCTATTAATTGGAAATGAATCTTTAGAGTTCTTAAATCTGAAAGCAGAATACAGAATCTTCTATTCGTTAAAATATTACAAATAATGCCAGATTTATAGTTGCGTTTCCTAAAGTCCATTAGATTCTAAAGAGTTGAGGAAATCTTTAAAGTACTTCATTTACTGACCAATTTCTTTTAGAATTTTTCACCCATGTTGTATCTGATTTTGCTCAGCCTTATGATACTCATAAGGATAGCAAGAAAAATTGTGCTACAGTTTTTAAAGCCAAAATTGCAGGTATTGATTGTATATGTGGATTTTTCTCTGAGAAACGTCGTCCCATTTTGCTTCTTTCCTCTTCTCCCAAATGTGTTTCTCATCCTTTCTTAAAGTTCCCTATATATAACATATTATTTGCTTTTATTCCCTGTGGTTGATGTGGGAATATTCCCTGGCCGATAGGTTTTTCTATTTGGAAGAGACTCTGGAGGAAAGACCATGCTTTTCTTCTAATTCTAAAATTTGATGGATGATAAATTGGGGTAACAATCTCATATGATGCCTTTCGTTATTACCTAATATTCCCTCCCTTATAATGGGCACTTGTAGAGGCTCCAAAACATGTACATATTATTTGGCAGTTAAGACTGATTTCTTAATTATATTCAAAACAGATCACAATCTCACTCCACCCTGAGATTTTACAGGACCTCAAAGTCACACATAGTTAAAGCAAATACACATTTTCTCCTTTAAAAAGGAGATGCTAAAAAAAACAATGCTAGCAGAAACATGCATTTTAATGTTTATACACCAAATCAAGTCCCAAGAGATGAGTCTTTTAGCTTAAAGACAAACTTTCATCCCTAACATCCCAAGCATCTGATATCATATCATTTTGGAAAATTATCAGTATCATTAGGTCAGTCATTTTTTTACTATATAGTATCCTAAGCAATAAGACCAATTTCATGCAGAAATAAACTGACTATCTGTTCCTGAACAACTGATAGCCATTTCTTCATTCAATGAATAATCCAGCCATTCTGTCTCATCCTAATTTACCTCACAAGGCTACTGTGAGGATAAAGTGCATGTAACAGTAAAAATGGAACATATATTTGAATCATGAACTGAAAGATTTTTAAAATCAAAACAGCCATTCTTTTCAGCCTAGACATTCTATGCATCTGATTAATTTTAAAACTTAAATGTGTCTGTCAGGAAAGATTCCTCCTGGTTTTTTGCCATCATACACTAACATAGTTATCTTCTGCAATTTTATGTAGAGTTAAATGTGGTAATGAATTCAGGTCTGACAAATCAAAAAGTAATTGTCAAGAGTGACCTACCGTGTGAGGGTTGTCATAGTAGATAGCGATAGAAGACAGCCTTGGAGAGACACTGCAGCTCTCTGTAAAAAACCTTCCAGAGTCACCATAAGGCCCCACCTGGAACTTGTATGCCACAGTGATGTTGCCAATGGGGGGCAAACCAGCATTCACAATTACTTCTGTAAACAGTCCCGAATAAACAGCAAAGCCGAAGATCGTCAGCAACAGAAGCAGCACCATTGCCACAAACAGTCCAATTAGAAGCCAGTCCGACATGACTTCTGATATATCCAGTGTTCAGATATCAACTAATGACAAGAGATGAAACCAAAGATTACTGAATGCAGTTCCTCGTTGCTTTTCTCTATGTGATAGGACTTACAGTGAAACAGAAAAGTTAAAAGGGATTCCTTCTTCCCTTACCTACAATTCAATGTATTCTTTGTGAATCCTGCTTTTGCTATGAAGCCTTTCATGGAATGGGACTAAGATAGTCCCTCTTTCTAGATGTTTTATTTAACCCATCTGATCTAGCAAGGATATGTTTCTGATCCTGCCAATTAAAGAATGTCATTGTAGGACACAGGAAAATGCCTCCTCTGTTTCAGTATCTGTCTTTTGGAACCCCATTCCACCCATCCAAAATTAATTTGGACCAACCCTGCTGGTCTTTCTGAAGACTCTTAAGACTCTTGCTTTTCTCGAAAGCATGGTGGTCAGAAGACAGAACTCATGAGGTGTTGCTACTTTGATGTGACAAGAACTGTCAACTCTTTGAGCAAGGAAATAATTAAAAGAATTAGTAAACAGCAGTATAGAAATCTGTACTCTTATTTACAGCAATACACTGCTGTTGTGTTGTCTGTGAACATTAAACATCTGAATTAGTTTTCTGTTTGTTTGTTTTGTCTATTTGACTGAGGGCAAGGAAGAAACTTTGAAATAATATGGACACATTTCTGGTATTGATCTATTATAACATCATTTTCTAGTATATTTTTCTTTTTTTAATTAACATAATTGTTTTAAAATTATTAATGCTTCTTTAAAATGAAGCTCAATTTAACAAAACATTTGTGGACAACAATTGTCAGTTACTCCTAACTATCTGTTAAATTCAAAACATATCATTGCAGTAATTTATATTATTGATGTATTGATGCCAGTACACAAATGACAAATTCCTTTAGCTGCCATAAAATTAAGGTTAAAATTAGCATTAGAAAGCTCAGAAATATTATAACATCAAAAAATTACTTTTTAAGTTTCAAGACTTTGTTATAATGCAGAACAAACTGATTTGAAATAGCTAATTGTTGACATCAATAAAGTTACCAAGTGTTGTTTAATTATTGCATCACTGAGCTTTTAAATGTGAAATTCTCTCTTGAGTCAGCTCACCTCTGTTCTTCCCATTTCCCATTTTACATCAGGAGTTGGAACTCCCTTAAGCTTTTCTGTCCCATTAGTGTACTATTGGGACAGACAATACAATGCCCTCCAGATGTTTCAGATTTCATTAGCTCCATCCAGTATTGCTAATAGGATTATAGAAATCGTCATCCAAAATACTTGGAGAATATTGGAATGCCAATTCTTGTAACTCCAATTTCAAAGAGTCAAACTACATATTAAATTGAAAAGATGTATGGAACCCAACATTAGTGCCTACCAAAATAATAATTCATAATGTGATAATCTGGATAGTGACAGCAGCATTGCAAAGTCTACGATTTCTAATTCAAATCCTACCAACTCAAATATGTATTGCAAATCATGCCATTCTTCAACTTGCTTTTATCCCTGCAAGATTCCAAGTGTTACGTTTATAGTTTGGGGCACATAAGTGGAATTCTACAGAAAAGCAATTGGAGTGAGAGTTCAAAAATAATTAAACATACACGTTTCTTTGTCCAAACTGTCCTCTCCGAAGCAATCTTCCTGAAAAAAAGAATGAAAAAGTAGTTACATTAATTTGCAAAATTCTAAAGTAAAGATTCTAAAACAGTAAAAATGTGACTTAATTTTGATTTACATCACCCAGAATTCCAAATGCCGATTGAAATGCGTGTAAACAAAAATGTATAAACTTAAATTGATTTTATTTCTTCAGATTAACAGATTGCCTAACTCACTGTACATTGTTTGAGACCATCTAACAATCAATACATTTAACTAACTCTAATATCTTCCCTATTTAATTTAAATTAACGACGTATTTTGCAGACAGCAAGTGTTTTGCATCTACACGAAAGCTGGCATGATTATCTGAGAGTAATTCACACAATTGTTGTACAAATCATGAATACAGAAAAATGCCTGGGGAAAAAATCCTGCATATAATTAAGCGATCACTATCCAAAGACCAAATAATACATGAGGCAGCAATACACACATCTGACCTTTCACTGATGAATGACATCATGAATTAACCTATCTTTAAAGTACATCTTGATAAAGTTATCACTCAATATAGTTCTTAGGCTTAAGAGAGATATCAATATGATATTGAATCTCAAAGCAATCAGACATAATTGTGGCAAGATGGGTGGTAAATGAATGTAATAAATAAACCAACAAACATTATTTCTTGAAGCTGTCCACTGTTTCATTCTTTTTTCAGAAATTTCATAATCTGAGACAAACACTTCTTCAATAAACACATTGGTCTTACCTGAAGAATATCACAAGATCTTCTGATTCAATATTTGTTTTCTGGGGGGGGGGGGAAGAAAGTTTACTGATGTAGCCTGATTTCATAATTTCAAATTTTACATTAGGACATCACAGCTTTATAATATTTCACTGTTAAGGAAAAGATCCAGTAAGAATGGAAATAGAAAAACGTTCCTCCTATAAATGAATCTCTTCCTGAAAGGATGGGAAGAGACCACATATGCTCATACCAAGAGAATGAAAATTATACCTGTGGGAGAGTTCCTGTTCACAGTGATGGAAAGAGGAGAGTTTAGAAAGGAAAGAAATTATAGTATATTCTTGATTTGAGCCATAACCTCAAATCATTGCTGATTCACCCAGTGTGGATGAAACCAGAGGTATTCAAAAATAGCTCAGGTAAGCAAATGACGAAAGCAATATTGGAACAAAACACAAGACATGCTCCACCCTGTTTTGTTTGTGTATTGTGATATCACATTCTTATACAAAAAGGGTAGAGCTTGCACATTGCTGCTCGCATCATTTTATTGAAAGAATCAGAACCTGTAGATTCCTCTGAATGGAATATGGTAGGTTGTTAGGCATACTGGCTATAACAAGTAGAGGTGACTACAGTCTTAAGTGTATCTTCCAAGTAAAAGCTACATCTTGGTAATGATAGGAACCTTCGTCAGGAAACAGCCCAGACCCCAAAGAATTCAATTTTGGTTTCCCAGTAAATTTGATTATTATTTATGACACTTGTTATGCCATTCCATAACACTTTCTGAGCAGCTTCTGCTTCCCCTACATAAAATCCTACATAAAAGTTTAGTCAGAGGCTTGTTGTTGTTAGTTGCGAAGTCATGTCTGACCCATCGTGACGCCATGGACAACGTTCCTCCAGGCCTTCCTTTCCTCTACCATCTTCTGGAGTCGGTTTAAGCTCACGCCTACAGCTTCAGTGACTCCATCCAGCCACCTCATTCTCTGTTGTCTCCTTCTTCTTTTGCCCTCAATCTTCCCCAGCATTAGGCTCTTCTCCAGTGAGTCCTTCCTTCTCACTAGGAGGCCAAAGTCTTTGAGTTTCATCTTCAGGGTCTGGCCTTCTAAAGAGCAGTCAGGGTTGATCTCCTCTAGGACTGACCGGTTTGATTTAATTAATTCCATAAAATTGACCACTCCCACAAAACCAATCATGGCATTCTATATCCAGGGCCAGAAGGCAGGTTTCTAAGTATGATCACATTCCAAACCAGGGAGAAAAGATTAATCAGATACAGAAATGATTAATCAGAAAGATTAATCATTCAAACAGGTATAGAGGTATCTACCTTTCCTAAATTGCCTTCAGTGTATTTGGATACCTCTGCAAATTTGAATCCCATTGCATATCTAAAGAGCAAATGGGGCAGACATACATAAAAAAACCACCAATTGATACCAATGGTTCCAGACTCAGAAATGATTAAAAAAAAGTTGTCTGTGCAAAGATCTCCTATATAAAAACATAGTCTAGTAAGATTAAAATGAGAAGAAATGTACATTCTTCCTTGTTCTTTTATTTTCATTCCTGGGGGGAAAGTATCCAGGCCACACATAAGCACAAGATGACTTTATATCACTATAATCCAGCATCCTGTTTATCCCATTGCAAGTGGCTTATTACATGACTCTAGGATACCCAGAAGCAAGACATTTAAAAAATGCTAAAGGAAGTCCTGCTGAAAATTGCACATTTTTTCCCTTAAGTTGGCTGTATTTATATTGTAATTACAAGCACATATTATAAGATTACATTTAAAGGTTACACCTGAGTATGTTTAATTAGGATATGCATGATTAAACTCATGAGGTTATTTCTGGGTAAACATGATCTATATAACACAGTCAAGTTTTCATTTAAGTGATGGCTTCAAAAAATCAAAAACTTCTAAAAAGGGAAACAGTTAAGTATGGAGCTATACTCTGGGGATCATTTAATATCTTTGTAAGTAACAAGAATAGCAGGGGCTTCAAACTTGTTCCCTGGATCTTAACCAGGGTAAAATGGTACCACTGCCCCACATAGCATACTTCCAATATTATTATTATTATTTGCATATTTGCCCAAGCTGTGTTTGCTGACTTCATCTGGCCTCAAGTGATTTGTTAGGGTCAGATCACGTTCCCTAGATGGAAAACTACCAGGAAATATCACTACTATTGGCCAGACTGGGAAGTTAAAAACATCCTAGATGTAGGCAATGGCAAATCACTTCCATATTATTTTGAAGAAAACAACATAGATTGTTAATTAAGATACAGGGTGTGGAGCCCAATTTGAAAGTAATTTAATTTTACTGTCATAGACAATAATGTCATAGATATCATGCCATAAATCATCCATTAGAATATCAAGAATTGCTGGCTCTCCTATCCCAGGGATGTCAAACTGGATTGCTTCGAGGGCTGGATCATCATTGTAATTCTCCTCTGTGGGATGGTGGCGGAGGGGGTGCAGTGGGGGCAGCAGGGAGGCAGGACGGATGCCTCCTGCAGCACTCTGCCGGCCAAAAACAGACTGCATGGCCCATTTTCGGGGCGTTTTTTTGGCCTGTTTTTCGGGCCGTTTTTGGCCCATTTTTCAGCCCGGTTTCAGCCAGCAAAGTGCTGCAGGAGGCCATGGAGGGTGGAAATGAGGTGCGGGGAGGGCACACACAGCCTGTTTTAGCTGCCAGAGGCACTATGGTTCGGTCCCTTGATATTTCCAGGCCAGCCCTGCAGGCCAGATTTAGGCACCCCACGGGCCAGATGCTGCCTGTGAGCCTTCAAGTTTGACACCCCATCCTATCCTATTCTTCTGAACTTTTCCTTTCTAACCAACTGAATCTACCTTAGGGATAAACAGAGACAGTTAACTCTTAAACAGCAAAGCAAAAAAGATGCATTTCTCTAACTTATGTCAAAGTTATACCTTTCAAGAACTCAAAATTATTTCAAACATGTAAGATTTCCAAAAAATATTTGAGCAAGAGACAGCGAGGAACTATTTATGTGGGACAAGTCTAGGCTCCCATTTCTCTAGTCACAATGTAGGGGAGAACATTAAGCCCCTTCTTTGGGCTATGGGCAATGCTACCTGACTTAATGAGGATAAGTGCATAAACATAGTCTCATAGGGTATTTGAGACAAGATCCTATTTAAGTTTGCATTTCACACAAAATATTTAAATAACCTCAGTCAATACCTGTTTTGAGAACTGATGCACCATTTAAACATGGCAAAAGGATATACAATACAGGTAATTGTTGACTTATAACCATTAATTTAGTGACTTATAGTTACAAAATTGTTTTTTTCCCGAACGCTATCACTCTGCTAAACAAATAATTCCCACAACACTGTCCAACTATTTATCAAGTCTGCATTACTATCGCTATTAATCTTCTCATCACTCCTATCATCCATCCGCTCCCACTTGTGACTGTATGACTGTAACTTTGTTGCATGTATCCTTACGATTTATATTGACGATTTATATTTATATTTATATTCCTAGTATGATTTGATTGCTTATTGTACCCTATGACTATATAAAGTGTTGCACCTTATGATTCTTAACGAATGTATCTTTTCTTTTGATGTACACTGAGAGAGCATACGCACCAAGACAAATTCCTTGTGTGTCTAATCACACTTGGCCAATAAAAGAATTCAATCAATCAATCAAAGGATCTGAAAAAAAGTGACTTATGATTGTTTTTCACAATTATGGCCATTGCAGAATCCCCATGGTCACACGATCAAAATTCAGATGCTTGGCAATTAGCATGTATTTATGATGGTTGCAGTATCCCGGGGTCATGTGATCAGTTTTGTGACCTTCTGATGAGCGAAATCAATGGGGAAGCCAGATTCACTAACAATCACATCACTAACTTAATAACTGCAGTGATTCACTTAGCAGCTATGGCAAGAAAGGTTGTAAAATGGGACAAAATTCATTTCACAACTGTCTTGTTTACCAATGGAAATTTTGGGCTCAATTATGGTTGTAAGGTGAGGACTACCTGGATATAAACTTCTGTAGTGGGGGGGGGGGAATCATAATTTAAACTTAAGGCCTTACAGGATGCAAAAAAAAGGGGGGGGGAGGATTAGAACATGACCTGAGATTTGGATGGCATGGTTATCTAGTACGACAAAGTCAGTGTTAATGTGGATTTCAAAAATAATTATATTAGACGTGTCATACTGAGAATATGAAATAAATGCAAATCCAGGTTATACCCCAAAACATTTTTGTGGCTTTCAGCACAAAAAGTATTTTATATATGAGAAATAACAGGCAAACATAAATAGCTAACATTATGACATATTAGAAGTTTGTCAAGGGAAATGTAAAATAAAATTAAGACAACTGGTAGTAAAGAAATATAGTTGTCGAATATTTTTTTATTTACGTTCAGTTATTAGAAACATTTAAACTAGACAAAAATTTATTTTTAAGCACTTAAGACTGAGTTTGAAATGAAATCGTGTACAAATTATGAACGTGTAATTGCTAAAAGGTATTAAATTTTATTGAAATGGGAAACAGAAGAACAAGTGAAAGAATGTATAATAAAATGGGCTAAATATTTATTATAACATACATAAAAAATAAATGGTTGAAAGCAGGGGCAGGATTCAAATTTCTTAACAACCTGTGGGCATGGCTTGGTGGTCATGTGACTGAGTGGGCATGGCTTGTATGTAAATATTATAAATATTTATGTAAATATTGATTTTTTTATTAAAAAAAGAGCAACTTTTACCCAAAAGCAGGCAAAGCAGGCAGGCAGATTGAGTTGCTCACAGAATCACAGATTCACTTAGAGATCTGTGTTTCTGCTATTGGCTATCTGAGTCTGCACTTAATAATACAACCTTCAGTCCTAAGGGAGGTTCGGCTCTGCTTTCCTGCTTTCCTGCTAATCTAAATCTCCCGGCAGAGCAGAACAGCTGATAGTCGGGGGGGAGGAAAAATAGCAACTTACCAAACCAGGTAAGTTGGATAGCTCACATGCCAGGTAAGGAGTGAGTGGGCGGGGAGGGAGGGGCCAGCCAGTGGAGCAATTTGCCAGTTCTCTGAACTGTGGACAATCATAACACACGTGTGTGCAGCGTTTGGAAGAAATCATCAGCTGTGCTGCCTGGACAGCTGATAAGCGCTGCGCGAGGGTGGGCAGCATTTGAAAATCCTCGTTTCCTGCTTTTTCAACTTCAGTTGTGCCGCGCAAAGCAGCTGAGGAGGGAAAAGCAGGGAATAAAGGACAGTCTAGAGCCCAGGCAGGCGGGTGGGCCAACCACCAAACCGGTTCAGTGTCAGCTGCTCTTTGCAGCTATAGGTTCTATAGAACCGGGCCGAATTGGTAGCATCTCACCCCTGGTTGAAAGGATGAAATTTATATTATGTTATAATCTTAAAGATAATGTTTATAAAATGATGTATGGTTGGTATATGTCACCAGAAAAATTGTCTCAAATGTATAAAGGCACTTCAAATTTATATTGAAAATATGAACAACAAGAAAGGACACTTTATCATGTTTGGTGGACATCTAAAAAAGTAAGAAAATTTTGAATTCCAATATATATATTGATTCAGAGGATTTTAACATTTTATATAAAATTGAAACCAGAGGTCTTTCTTTGGGAGTTGATGGGTTAAAAAATGGAAAAAAAAGTTATGGAACTTTGATTTTGTATACGATTACTGCAGCGGATTATTACATGCACAAAAATGGAAAGATTCGGCATTATTTACAATTGGAAATGGTTGGTGAAGATGATGGATGGATGAGATGGCCAAATTGACTTGTTTGATTAGAGAAAAGAGAAATCTACATTTATTATTGGAAACCCTTATGGACTTTTTGCAGAAAACAGGAAAAAAATGAACATGATTTTCACTATTAGGCAGGATAGATTACAGAAAGAAGAGAGACATGTTGTAACTTTAGAGAAAGAAGTAAATTTATAATTGTACGGTATGTGTAACTGATGTAAAGAAGATAGTAAGCCACTTCTTTTCCTCCCCTGACAAGAATGGCAGGATGCCATTTCACACAAATAAATACATAAAAATAGGTAAAATACTAGTTATTTAAATTGTATTTATAATTCCAGTGTGATTGCCTTTCATTAAATAATATAAAGTTTGTACTATGGTAGCTCCCATGTGTATTATTTTTAATTCTTAAACCTGGGAAGTAAAAATCAGAGACACGGAGGATAATCTCTAAACATACTATCTTCAACATACACCAAGAAGAAAAATCTTACTTTATGAAAAAAAAATGAAACAGAAACATGGAAGTGTTGGTTTGCTTGGCTACATGAAAATGAAAATTACAAAATCATGTTCATCTTTTTTCTTTTCAATGAGCTGTTTTGTCTCTCCCAAAACAGTCTGTTTATTTTACCAGCATTCTACTTCCTGGTTCATGTGTACCGGCTTGATGAGATCATCATGCTCGTGCACAGTTTCCAAGGCCAGAATCTACATTTACAATTATTCCTTAAAGTACTAGGGCTGCTTTTAATGAAACCTCTGAAATATGCTTTCTTGATCAGCAATTTAGCTAACAGATGAACGCATTGTTTTGGTAAAATAGAAAGATCAAATAGCAGAGACTTACATGAAAAGAAAGGTGTTTTGTTTTTTTTAATCCTCTGTTTGTGATGTTCCCAATGTTCAGTGTAAACATATATTTGTGTCACAGCAACTGCTGGTAAAGGCAACTATCAGAATGGAACGAGTCCTTGGGACAAGTCCAAAATATGATCCAAACAGCAAGTCTGGTTAAAAGCCAGTTCAGTAGCTGTCACTCACTTGTCTTTCCTACTCAAACATTTTTCCATCCAAGCGTAATCTATGATTTTAAGTTCAGTTACAATCATATTCCTAAAGCCCTAAACTACTAAACCACAGAAAAGAAAGGAGTCATTTGAATCATGTTACATCAACTAAATTCTTCCTGCATCTACCAACATTTAAAGCTCACTGTATTTGAAACTGTGCAATGTTTACTCGTCTCTCAACATTTCATCTCAAGGTGGCAAGGGAATGAGAAACTTAGTATTTAAATCAAACCAATGTTTTCATTCTTTCTCTCCAAAGAAAAGCTCTAGAGCATGATGAAAAGGCTTAAAAAGAAAGCAAAATGTTAAAAAAACAGTAAGAATAACTACTGATGAAGATATACAATAGGGTGAAATTAGGCACATCATCAAATTAAACCTACATATACTTATCAAAGGTCAGATCAATTGAACTAAAAATAATTTATACAGCCAAATAAGCATGCAAAAATAACTTAAACCGATGCCTGAATCAAAGTTTTAAATAGACAGTGACGCTGGAATGTTAATTTGTTTCATAATTAAAGTTGCTAGGTCTCTTTCTGGGAAAATCCTATTCCTCTACCAGATTTATGACTACCAGAATTTCAGGTGTAAATGTTTTATCAGGATGTAAATAAGATGACAATTTACATTTTAAAAGGGTCTGTATTGTTGCTTGTTATGTTGCTATGGTATGAAAAGCACAGGAACCTACTATGTATTAATTGAATGCAAACTATTGCTTACATACATTCATGATATTATAATAGTATCCTACAAAAATACAAAACTATTCATAAATAAAGATGGGGAGTCACACAAGTTAATAAGACCCAAACTGAAAACCAGAGGTCCTCATTCGCATATCATTTCTTTAGTCTTTCCTACAGATGGTCTACTATAAAAATAAACTCAAGGTTGATGAACTGTTGGGGTTTTGTTTGCTTGCTTGCTTGCTTCCTTTCTAAGAAAAGTTTTCATCTCAGAGCTGTCTATTGCCTCCATAATACCCAAGTATCTTCTAATTTCTAAAGCAGCCAGGCCCAAGATGTGAATCTTTCACCTCAGGAGCATTAAGAAAAAGTGACAGCCAAACTATTTCTGGTCCCAGCTGGGCTATTGTTGGGCTATCCAGGCAAAGGGACTCCAGTCCCTCTTGCCTCTTCCTCCAACACCCCCCAAGGCTCCTTTTTCCTCTCCCACCCCCCCCCCCCTGCGCTGATCCCACCCATCCCGGGAACCCACAAGATCATCTGCTCCCCACCCATTCCCCACCCCAGCACTTCGCTGCCCCCAACCTCGCTCCAAGGATCGGGGAGAGGAGGCAGCCCCGCCAGGCCGACCTTCCAAGCCCCGCTTCCCCTCCGCCCAGCAGTGACCCCGTCGCCCATTTGACAACCTAAGCAGACCCCCCCCCCCCCGCCCCCCATAAGCCACCCACGATCCACTTGGGACCTGCTCCTTCAAGGCTTCCCCTGCAAGATCCTGGGAGCCACGGGGATCGCCTCCCTTCCGCCCCTCCGACTCACCCCCTCCCTTCCCGGCAGCGATGGGCAGCGGAGCCGCTTCGGCGAGCGAGTGGCAGGCAGGCTTCCCGGCTCAAGTGGCAGGCTGAGGAAGCTGCGCGCGGGGACGCGCCTGGCCAGGCGGCCGGCGCTGCCGCCGCCAAACGCGTCCCCGCCCATCGCGCCGTGCACGTGCCCCGGTGGGAGCGCGCCACGAGCGGCTGAGGCGGCCGGGAACCTAGGCCGGCGCTGGCAGCCGCTTTGCGGGGTTGGGCTTCGCTGGCGGGGAGAGAGCGGGAAGTGACAAATACGGGCAGCTCTGTAACGGAGCCCTGTGTGGAGCAAGCCTGTTTCTGCCTACGTGGACCAGGGCGACGAGCCCGTGGGAGTCGGCGAAAAGGGGGACTTCCCTCTGTGCTTGCGGGGGAGGGAAGGGAGGGGAGAGAAACCTTATTTAGTGCCTGTTTTATGAAAGCTGGGTCCGGATGCGGGGTCGACTCAAACTCCCATTTTTCTGCGAGTTGAGCAGGCAGCAATTCATTCAAAAGGTTCTGCTCTCACCGCCTCTCCCTTGGGGAAGGTTACATCGGTGGGTTGGCCATGCCGCCTTCTAGGTGCAATCGCAGAGGATGGGACGTGGGACAAGTGAGCTGGGCTTCCAAATACCAAGGCAACATCAATTCACGTTTTCTGCCACCTTTCTGAGGGGCCCTCCGGATTTTTGCTGCCCAGACCTGATAGGCCTCCTTGAAGGGTAGCATTTTAAAATTGGGAGGGAAGGTGTAATGGGAAGATTCCTCCCAGAGAAGGGAAAGAGCCATTGTTCTGCACCAAAGAAATGATGTTGCTGTTAGGGGTGGTATGAAGGCCAGATCCTGAAGATGAAACTCAAAAATACTTTGGCCACCTAATGAGAAGGAAGGACTCTCTGGAGTCCTGATGCTGGAAAAGATTGAGGGCAATAGAAGAAGGGGATGACAGAGAATGAGGTGGCTGGATGGAGTCACTGAAGCAGTCGGTGTGAGCTTAAATGGACTCCAGAAGATGGTAGAGGACAGGAAGGCCTGGAGGAACGTTGTCCATGGAGTCAGGATGGAGTCATGACTTCGTAACTAACAACAACAAAAAATGCTTCTCTCCTTCCAACTCTATTTTAACTGTTTTGTGCATCTGAAACACACTGGTTCTATACATGGTTGCTGCTTCATTTCCATTAATGGGATTACCCATATACAAGAATATATAAAACACACTGAGACATAATAGAGACCCAGAAGATGAACAGACCCATGGAACAGCTGTCCTGCCCTACATAAGAGGCACTACAGACAAAATTAGTAAGATACTATACAGACACCACATCAAGACTGCCTTCAAAACAGACAGAAAAATAGCAGCCATCCTCAGAAACCCCAAAGACAAAATTGACCTGGAAAACCAAGGCATATACGAAGTCCCCTGTGCATCATGCCCGGCCACATACATTAGACAGACCAATAGAAGAATAAGCACCCGCCTGGATGAACACAAAAATGCAGTCAAAAAGCTGGAACACACTTCCTCACTAGTCCAACACATGGAAGCCACAGGTCATAGCATCAACTTCAATGGCACCAAAACCCTAGCCACTATAGAAAATTCCAGCCACAGAATCATCAGAGAAGCCATAGAGATTGAAAAAAGACCAGAAAGCATGAACAGAAGAGATGATTCCACCAGGCTGTCAATCATTTGGAAGCCTGCACTCACAAACAAAAAAATCTCCACACCACAAGCCAGGCAAACACCTGGGCACAAACAGATCCCCCCTGATACCTCCAGCTCAAACACATCCCAACCAGGCACCCAGATGAAACCCAGCTGCCTAACTAATGATAGCCGTCCATTTACCCGAAGCCAAGCTGCACTAAAGGCCTCCAATAAAGTAACACAATGCTGCCAGCCAATCAAGATACAAAAAGAGCCAAAAAACAGACAGAAAATATTAGAGACACCAATCAAGCAGAACACAGCAAACTCCGAGACCAGTAAACACAGACCAAGACTCCCAACCAATCAGGATGAAGAAAAAACCATTCTGGCACAGCAATAGGCTGCCCCAAATTTAAATCTGAAACCACTGTAAAAGTCTGACTCACAGACGGACACAATACAGAAGCCTGATGATGGCAGATGAGATTCTCCTGAAACGTTGCTACAACTTTAAAAGCACCACTACTATGACGTGGGAAAATACCCGAACAAAGCTGAAGGCCATATATATATATATATATAAAATACAATAAAATCAAGCCATTTAAAACAGTTTAACTGTTGGATAGTATTAGTAAAGTATTGTTTTACTTAATGGATTTAATAACCTTATGTTACAATGGTCACCCTCACAGGATGACTTCTGATTACCAAAATCAAATAAAATATTAAAGAACTGCCTAAGGTACTAGCTGGGGATTCTCACATTTTGTGTGTGTGGACATGGGGGAAAATTTATATGCACATAAAAAAACTGCTTACAAAGGTTGGGGAACCCCAAAATGTTCCAGATGATGCTGAAGAATCCAGAGAGCAGCTATTCTATGAAGCAAAAGTACCTTCTATAGCAAACTAGAATTTATTGGAAAGAAATAGCATCATTTGTTCCAAACTTAAAATATATTTCAAGATCCCATCATCACTCTCCTCCCCAAAAGCTTCAGAGGCTTCAGGTGTTTGGACCTTCTGGTGTCAGAAACTTTCCATCATTGTCTTGGATGGGATGGCACTGCCCCAGGAAGACCCAGTGCACAATCTTGGCATCTTCCTGGACTCATGGCTCCTGATTGAAGAGCAGGTGACAACCATGACTAGGAGGGCATTCGCAGACATTAGGGTTGTGTTCCAGTTGCGTCCAGGAGGCCTTACTCACTGTCACTCATGGCTTTGTGACCTGTTTGGATGTGCTCTACATGGGACTGCCCTTGAAGAACATTTGAAAGCTTCAACCAGTGCAGAATGCATTGGTTCCACTGCAGGGATTGCAAAAAGAGCCAGTTACTTGCTCAGGTAACACTTTATGAACTTCATTGGTCATCACTCTGCTTCTGGGTGCAATTCAAGATGGTTGTCACCTTTAAAGCCTCATCAGGTTACTTCATGAGGGACCATCTCTCCCTATTTATCCGATCCAGTCTGGCAGAATGGGCATGCTCTGGATCCTATTGGCTAAGGATGCCAGTCGGGCAGGCCCAGGAGGCATGCCTTTTCTGCCCTATAGAACCTATTCCCACCAGAGGTGAGGAAGGCTCTGACTCTGCTGACCTTTGGTGGGGCCCTAAAGGCCTGGTTCTGTACATAAGCCTGGAGCCGTGCATGTGTGAAAGGCCCCATCTGGCTGTGTTAAGAACATGATACCTTCCTTAATTGTTGTTTATTTTAATTTTTGCATTTGTGATGGGAACAATTTTTAACTTATTTTAACATTGCTGTCCTGAGTCACTTGAGATGGGCAGCTATACAAATTGATTAAATAAATAAATGTATTGTCAGTTGTTATCATTGTTGTTTTTTCTCAGTAGTCATGGTGTGACCATATTCTGGCTCCCATTCACCTAGAAGACAAAACAGTTATGAAGAATTAAAACTTTAACTACAATATCCTATGAGCAGAGACACAAAGATACTATAAGCTGTTTTTTTAAAGAGATAAATAAACTTTAATCCTCCAAGCTGAATTACAGATTGTATGTTTTGTACATCATTCCTATGATAGTCTCTTAAAAGTTGCACTTGATTAAGATTCGAGCTCTCTGTTGACTACACTAAGAACTCAAATATCATCTTAAAAGAAGTATAGGCAGGACATTTCTATACTGTTGCCATGGAAATTTTACTAAATAAACACATCCTATTTCAAAAGCTAAAATAAAAATGGTACCAAGCACTTTCATTTGTTCAGGGAAAATGAATGGCTTGGTTTTTAGAATTCTAAAAGTTCATAGATGCTCAGCGAGATGGGTGGCATGTAAATTGAATAAATAAAATTATCTCCCAAGATAGAACCTAAAATATGATCTTAATAAAGAGTATAGCTTATGAGCTCTGCCCAAAACCTCTCTTCTTTTCGAAATGTGAAATCCTATTTTCACTTGTGGTTTATTTAACTTAGACAAACATGTAAAATAGGATGGCTTCTCTCTTCTAACAGTGAAAGAAGTGGATGGAATGACATTGACACTCATCACAGCTTTTTCTCAAACACCAAAATCATGGTTTCATTCATTGTCTAAATTAAGCAACAGAATTGTAGGAAAAGACATTATGAAGGAAGGCTTATGATGGAAAGAAACCCAGAAGTTGGAAAAATATCAAATGTAAGAACGGGCTGACCTCTAGCGGCTAAAAGTATCAACAATTAGAAAACAGTATGAAGAATGCAGAACGTTTCTAAAATACTTGGATACTGGATACTGGAATATCTTTTCCAACCATTTTACCATAGACAGTGCCTATATCTTCTTTTGTGTAATGAAGCAACATGTTCTGTCTATGCGTATGCATTTCTGCTCTCCCCTTGTGTTGCATCTTTTTATATTTCTGTGTAAATTGCAAGTTCATGCATTTTGGATCCCTTGACTAGAAAAAAGGCTTTAAAAGGAACCATCGCAACTACAACTCAGTTATGTCTCCTTTAGGGATGTGTTGGATTTCTTTTTTCTGAAACAAGTTGTTTTCCTGGTTTGATCCAACCAATTTTATATCCTGATTTTTCTTTTATTGGTTTCTTCCCTCGTCTCTTTCTTTCTTTTTCGTTCTTCTCCTCTTTCTCTTTTCTTCTCTCTTTCTTTTTCTTTCTTTCTGTCTCTTTCTTTCTTGCCTTTATTATTTTTATGAATTGCTCAAGGCACAAACATATACAACAAACCTTCCTCCTCCTATTTTCCTCACAACAACAACTGTAAGTTGAAGGTTACCCAGCTGGCTTTCATGAGTAGGGAATGAGAGGGAACTCATGGTCTGCTTTCTAGCTTTTGGTCCAATAGTGTGCTAGTTTTGGAGAATTATCTTCCCTGAACCCTGAGCCTTTTGCATTATTTGTTTCCAGCATTTTGCTGAGCTGGGAAGACTAAATAAGAAACATTGATGAG